AACAACAACAACAACAACATCTTAGAGCAGAGGAGCTCTGGTGGTGTAGTAGTTAAGGCATTTGGCTGCTAACCAAAAGGTTGGTGGTTCAAACCTACCAGATGCTCCATGGAAGAAAGATGAGGCCATCTGCTTCCATAAAGAGTTGCAGCCTTGGAAACCCAATGGGGTCGCTATGAATTGGAATCCACTCAATGACAGCGAGTTTGGTTTTGGTGTAGTCTTAGAGAAGGTGGCTTGCATGGGGTGAGGGGAGGGCTGGGACCAGGCCAGGAGGCAGGAGAGTGCAGAGGGGTGCTCTGGTCAGTAGTGACCCTTGACCATCCCCACGAGTGCTTTGGAGCCCTAAGTCAAAGACATGGAGAACTCCAGTCAGAATCTATGAGTCAATTCTGAGTGCTCCAGCCTGGCAGGGGTGACTGAAGGCTCAGAACTGGCACATGGTGGAGTTTTTTAGAGCACCAGTAGCTGCATCTGCCCCGCTGATGACCGAGGCACTCAACAAGCAGATCTCTGGGAATTCATAGCTTAAGGGGGGAAGATGAACGATAACAGCCCCCATTTATTGAGCACCTCCTTTATGCATGAGATAGGCAGTGGTTTTTGGTTTTGGGTTTTTGCTGTTGTTACTAAGAGTCTCTGGGTGGTGAGAACAGTTAACGTGCTTGGCTGCTAACAAAAGGTTGGTTCAAGTTCACCAGAAAAGGCTGGGTGATCTCCTTCCCAAAAAGCAGCCATTGGAAACCCAGGGGGGCACAGTTCTGCTCTGACACACCACGGGGTCACCGTGAGTTGGGATCCACCTGACAGCAACTGGTATTGGTTTGACACCTAGGATGCCACTACTCCAGCTTCAGTCCCTGTGTGAAACACCACCTGTTTTCTGGCGGGGATCCTACTATGCTTTGAACTCCTCTGACACAGGGTTGAAGCCCCCAGTTACATGTCGTTTTTTTTCAGTGGCCACTTTCTGGAGCTCCCCCAGGCAAAATCCATTGTTCCCTTCTCTGTCGTCTCAGCGTGCTCTGTAGCTTTGCACAAGCCCTGATGATAGTAGAGTGAAGTTTATTTGTATTTATTTATTTATTTTTGTCATCTCCTACATTAGCTTAGAAGCCCCTGATGGGGCAGGGGTCACCATGGGATTCTTTTATGTGATGTGTTCTTGCAAAGGAGCATGAGTTTTTTCGGTGAATGTGTTTTTAAGTGTGTGCTTCTTCTTCTGGGCTGTGAGCTCTCTGAAGGTGGCCTCTTGTCTTATTTTAATTATCAGACAATAAAATTGACTTTTTGTGTGCATGTCTATAAATTGTAACACATATAGATTCATGTAACCACCGTCTGAATGCATTTTTAATTTACGTAAATGATATTGCAGGATACGGGTCCCCATTTGTTTCCTACTCCTTTCATTCCGTGTTCTTAAAGGTCCATCTTGTCTGTCACTGGCATGTCTAGTCCATTGTTCTAACAGCTGCCCAGTCCTCCACTATGTGTATCCCCCAGGAAGGATGCCTGGTTGCCTCCAACTCCCCCCACCACAAACATTGAGATGAGCAACAGTGAGCATATGGACTCAAGGACTTGTGTGAGAATTGCATTGGGGTTTATATTCAGGAGCAGAATCCCTGGGTCATAGAGCCACTGTAGAAATAATGGTCTCTAAGAATCACGTCCCACACAAGGGTGGCCCAGTTCATCTTGGGATGTGGCTTCTACCAGCTGTAGTAAGCCAACACACACCACTAGGCTGTGCTTCATCCTGGTTGGCCAATAAGTACTTCTCTGTCTCCTGAATTTCCTGAGGGCTCAGTCCCCCTCCTTGACCACCAGCTCCTCCTCTGGGACTCCTGGCTCTTCCCATAATCCAATAACTAATGGGTTACACCTGGCCCAGCCAGAGTCCTCTGGGATCCTGCTCTGGCTCCCAGTGTCCATTACCAACTGTTACATATGTTGAGGATCATCTCTGTCCATAATCCTGTGTTGGGGATGGAGCCAGGCAAGGGCTCCAGAGGTTGAGGTTCAAGTCCTCCTCACCCAGGCTATGGCAAGCCCTTCCCTTCTCTGGATTTCCACCACACACGAGTCAGTACTTTAGAGGTTGACATGCTTTCCTGAAGCATGCTGGGTAATCTACTGAGACACTCTGGGAGCTAAGGAGGGGCTCTCCCCATTTGACAGATGAAACTAAGCCCAGAGAATGGAAGTGACTTGCCCAAGGTCACACAGTGACTGAGGAACAGAGCTGGGACTCAAGAGACTTTGAAGTCCATGGTGTGGCCCTGAGCTGTGAATGCAACCTGCCCGCCACCTTAAGCTTCTTGTACAAAGGAGGACAGGAGAAGTGAGCTGAATTGCAGTTGATTGGTTGGTGCAGTGCTAGGTTTTGTAGGTATTTAATTAAACACTCATTAATTTTGATTTTGTAGCTTTCTTTTTGTATTTCAGAGCTAATCTGTTTTCCTTTCTTTGCTTTCACATCTCAAAGTTTTCTGTAGGCCCTTGATGAGATCGAGGGGCCCTTCCCAGTGCCTGAACAGCAGATGCAGCCTTGGGTCTTGCAAGTGACCAGGTCCAAGCCTGTCTCTGTAGATCAATGACTGGCTGGTGGCATAGTGCCTAAGGCATTCAACTGCTAACCAGAAGGCTGGCGGTTCAAACCCACCAGTCACTCCTCAAAAGGAAGATTGGGCTGTCTAATTGTGTAGAGATACTGCCTCGGAAACCCAAGGAGGGGTCGCTATGAGAAGGAAATGACTCCACAGCAGTGGGAGACCATGACCAGTCTGGGTGACAGAAGGACACAGAGGTCAGACAGGCTGGAGTCCTGCCCTCAAGCCTGAGTCTGGTGCCACGAGACTCAAGATTCCCAAAGGCAAAGATTCTCCCATCCCAGGAGGTTTGAGCTCAGGAAGGTGCAGAGAGATTCCCTGAGCCAGCAGAGGGAGCTTCCTCGTGGAGACAGGAAGTGATTGGTAAATGTTTTAAAAGAGAGTGGGGTGAAAAAATGAGAACTTGCAATGCTAAGATTCTGGGCTGAGTGGCCTGGTCCAAATTAATAATGGTGTTAACCAATAGCTGCATTTATTGAGCGCCTACTGGGTACCAGCCCCTGTACTTCTGCCATCGTATTTCATCCCCACGGCATCCATGGGATGAGGTCAGGGAGTATGCGAGGTCTTTGCCACCCAGGCCCACGGGTGTGGACCAGCACCATCACTGTTGAGCCTGGAGCAGATCCTCAAGGCCCCGGCGGAGGAGCTGCCCTGCAGGCTTTGGGTCGTGGAGAGGTGAGTGGTCCCGTGGTGGAGCAGGGCCAGCAGCAGGGAAGAACACTTAGCCCACTGGCTGTTTATCAAAGTGTTGGAAGAAAGGACTGGTGATAAACTGAATCCAGGGCCACCTCCAGGGCAGCTGACAAGAGTTGCAGCATTTTAACAAGCCCAGGTGAGTATCAGTTTAGCTCACAGGTCCTGTGACCATTGTCTCCATTTCACACACAGACAGACTGAGGCTCAGAGACTTGTGGTGACTCGCCACCCAGACCGAGGTCGGGCACACCCCAGGGCCCCAGCTTTTCATTGTGGTCAGATGTTTGGAGCCATCGAGCCAAATGTGGTTCACAGTGATCCCATGTGACAGGGTAAAACTGCCCCAAAGGGCTTCCCAGGCTGTGATCTTCACAGGAGCCGGTCTCCAGATTTTTCTCCCAAAGAACTGGGTTCAACCCCAACCTTTTGTTAGCAGCTGAGTGCTTAACTGTGGCGCCACCAAAATTCCTTTCTTATTGTTAGGCTCCTAATGTTGAGCCACCTTGTCCCAGCCCTAGAAACTCACCTCTGTGTGTTAGTTCTTCCCCCAAAGGCTTTCAGCGTTGCCCTCTCACTTCAGCCTCCAAACCCTGAGGCCCTGCAGCCACTACGGCAGGAGGAAGGGAAGGGTTAACTAGGCCACAGCCTAGGGCAGGGCACCACTCTCCGCCTGGCAACCGCTGGCACCTGCCTTTGCCTTTCATCTCCACAGGCTCCAGGTGAGAGCAGCCTGGCCAGGCTCTGGGATCCCAGCAGTGCAGCTTCCCTTTGATTTCTATGGAGGCCCCTACTCTGAGCCCAGAATCAAAGGCAGGAAGCATTGGCCAGTGCCCCAGGGTCCCCAGGACGGCAGCTTTGGGCTTCTCAGCCCAGCCCCTTCCCCCTGCCTGGCATGAATCTCTGCCTGGGCCCCCTCCTACCAGATTCTAAGGTACAGCCAAGCTGGGGAGAGGCTGGGGAAGGAAGGCTGTGGGCCACAGGGCAATAAAGGATGACAATGACGGGTGAGGGCTCCAGGGCCCAAACCAAGGACAGGTAGGGGAGGCTCTAGGAGCCTGGGCTGGGGAGCCAGTCAGTCTCCCAAAAGCATAGGGCTTCAATATGGCCTCTCCCAGAGGCAAGTGGCACCTCATAGGCTTTGGGTCTCAAGGTGAGAGCTGTGGGGGGCCAGTGAGAAAAAGCAAGGAATTTAAAAAGAATTAGTCAGGAGGAGGTGACAGGCCCATTCTGAAGCAAGATGAATGGGTTTCAGTTGGCGAAAATGATTCTAATTTATAATCTGCTTCTTGCTGCCGCTCGCCAATTAATTCTCTATAGATACATAAATAGGCCGTGTATTTGCTTTGCTTCAAACGTAATAAACATTACACTCTGTCCCCTTCTTTTGTGCCGGTTCCTGTCACGGCATTAGTCCCCACAGCTAATTCCTCACACCTGTCTCTGCCGCTCAGGGGAGCAGGGCTGAGTGGGGAGGAAGTGCCCAGCTTCAGGAAACTCTTGGCACCAGGAGATAAATTACCGATCCAAAAGCTGCCAGCACATGCAGGGAGGCTGGGCTCCCTGTGCTGGGGAGAGGCCCAGGCAGGCAGGCAGGGAGGGAGGGAGGAAGAGGGGAGTCTCCTCCCCTCCCCTTGAGACTCCCTTGTCCTGAGCTGTGGACCATCTTTCTAATGGACGAGGGGAGGGAGGGAAGGGTAGAACCAGTCACGATTACTGATCCCACCATCTATCTGCCCCAGCTCTCTGGGCTCCAGCCACTCTGGCCGCCTGGATCTTCATCAAACCCGGCAGGCGCCCCTGCCTCTAGCTTTTGCACTTACTAGTCCCTCTTCCTGGAAGGTTCTTCCCCCAGGGACCCTGTGGCTCCTTCCTTGGTCCCTTTTTTCATATGTCCCTTTGTGGTGAAGTATTTCCCCGGCCTCCATTTCTGACCCTGAAACTTACTCTTCAAAACTCCCTGTGCCTCTTTCCTGCTTTAAATTTCTTCTTAGCACTATCCCCTTCTGACACACTCTTTATTTTACTAATTTATCCTATTTATTGTCTTCCTCATGGGAATGTAAGTTTGTAAGAGCAAAGATTCTCGTTTATTCTGTTCACTGTGGTGTCCCCAGTGGCTGGCACATGGAAGATACCCAATAAATATTTGTTGAATGAATGAATGAGGTGGGGAGGGGATGCAGCAGACGGGACCCAAAGATTGACAGGACTTCTCACTCTAGTCTGTCATCTCAGCTTATTCCTGGAAGTAAGCAAAACCAAGGCTCAGAGAGGGAAGTCGTCTGCTCAAGTGGCCCAGTAAGTCAGTGACAATGGAAACTCAAACTCACGGCCACTGAGTTGATTCTGACTCAGAGTGACCCCCTTTGGGTTTCCAAGGCAGTAAATCTTTACAGAAGTGGATTGCCCAGTCTTCCTTTCACGAAGAGATGGGTTCTGCTGCACCACCTCACTCTCACTCATCTGGTTGTGATGAGACAGGAAGACCAAATAAAAATAGCTTCTGTGAAGTTACCTAAAAGTCCTTCATTTTTGCTTCAGCACGAGGAGCAGGGCACGGCCTCTCTGGCTTAACCTCTTCCAGTGTCCTTCTTGCAGCTTACACGCTGGCAATGCTACAGCTCCTGTGCCTTCCTAATCACACTCTGAGCTTTTGCACAAGCTGTTCCTGCCACTCGAATCACTCTTCCTTCTTTTGTCTTTCTGGAAAACTCCTGTTTATGCTTCAAAACCCATCATCCCACCAAATGGCATTAATCTCTGCCATCTCTGCACTGCACTGCCCTCTACACATTTCTTATTCCTTCCTTCTCTTCCCCCTGTGTAGGTAGAGGAGTCCTTGACTTTCAGGCCTGATGGGGCCATCACAGATCACGACCCCTTAAGGACAGGTACGTGGAAGCAGCAGAGAGCGTTCTATCTTGAGAAGTCTGAGACCTCCTACAAGATTTGGCTCTGGTCCCAACTCTCTGTGTGTCTTTGGCTAAGTCCTGGGCCTTCTCTTCATCTTGGTTTTCTACTCTGTAAAATAAAAGGGAGCTCTGGTAGCATAGTGGCTAAGGGCTAAGGCACTTGACTGCTAACCAGAAGGCTGGTGGTTCAAACCCACCAGCCACTCCTTGGAAGGAAGATGGGGCAATCCACTTCCATAATGACACTGCCTCGGAAACCCAAGGAGGGGGTCGCTATGAGTCGGGTCCGACTCAAGGGCACATAACAACAACACAAAATAAAAGGGAGAGGAAACAGAGGGTAATTCCACAATGACCAAGGGCCATTCCAGTTATTAGAGTCCAGGATTCTCTGCCCCATACGCCCTTTGTCAATCCTTCTCACACTTCCTCCATATGAACGCCATCTGACTAGTCCCTTAATGATTCTTGTAGCTGTTGTGTGCTGGACCTAGCTTGTACTCACTCATCAGAGCCAACTGTTACATTTTTAGGAATTTTGTAAGCCAGTTTCTCAAGCCCTTAACATTGGCCATGTTGAGAGTATCTATAGCATGTAAACTGGCAAACGTTACAAGTCAGGGCTTTCCGCGGCTTCTGTCCTCAGAGGCACTTTACCTCTGCCTGAAAGTCCATCTTTTCATGGCTCAGCATCTGCAGGTGAGAGAAGCCCCAGGTCCCCAGCATCACAGCCCTTCCTACTGGTGCTCAGTCCCTGATGGATTTCTCCATCCTCATCCCTTTGCGGATTCCTTCTCCCCTCCTGCTGGCTGCTCTTCTCCCAGGCCAGGAATAGAACCTAACATCTGACAGTCCTCAGCGGTGTTTAAATTTAATGGGCCTTCTTGCTTTTTTTCCTCCCGAGCACCTGGGCGGGGCGCTCTGCAGCAGCCCTGGGGAGCGGCAGGTGAATAATTCAGGGGGAGTGGAGTGTTTGAAGTGGGAGGGGGTGGCAAGGCTGTCTCATCCTCCCACCCCAGGGAGGAGTTCAGGAGAGATGGTCCAGGTGTTCAGGCCTTGTTCTATTTTCACTGTGCATCTCTAGGGCCTTTCAAGAAAGCTCAGGGGACCCCTACGTGCCTCTCCTCCCAGCCAACTGCCACAGAGGCTGTCTGGGGCTGAGGAAGGAAACAGGAAAAGGGAAAGACATGCATTTCCCAGTAGGCTATCCTGGCCTTGGACTTGGGTCCAGAGAGAGAGGGAAGGGGCAGGTTGTGTGTGGATAGCGGAAAGCTGGGGGCTAACTGCAGATTGGGGTTTCAGGACCAGGGTCAGGGAATGGGGATGCAAGCAGAAAGAGCCTGGCTGTTTCCTGGTGTGAGGGTGGGCTCCTGGCCCTGCCTTGTCTGCTGTCCATGGTGCTGCCACAGTTTAGGCTCCGTCTGGGACTATGACGACGACAATGGGAATCCTGGTCTTGAACAAGCTCCCCTTGCCCAGAAGTTCTCTGGGCGCTGGCTCCTACTTTTCCCCCCTCCCTCCATTCCACATCGAAAACAAAGTGCCTTTCAATTTTCCAGGCTTGGCACCTTCCCAGCAATTTTAATTTGTTTAGTCACTCATTCATCCAAAGAATATTGGTCAAGCATTTATTCCACACAGCACAAGCCCTTTGTGATTGGCTGCTAACCCGAACCCACCCAGCAGCTCTGCGGAAGAAAGACCTGGCAATTCACTTCCATAAAGTTCACAGCCCAGAAAGCCCTAGGGAGCGGTCCTGCTCTGTAACACGGGAAGTCTGGGCCCACGGGACAGCAACTAACAACAATAGCATGTGCCGAGCGCAGAACAGCGTCCACAGGCTACAGCAGTGAACCAAACAGACTCAGTCCTTAAATTCTTGGAGCCCAAGATGGGGCTTCATATCCTGGCCCTGACTTGCTCTGAGTTCTCCAGCAAGTCGCTTGCTCCCTGAAGCCTTGGTCTCCCTTCTGTGATACTCGTGCATTGCTAAGTTGCTATTGTTATGTCCACTATTAATTATAGCAAACACTCACTAAGTGTCTGACATGGACTAGCTCATTTCATCTCTACCCCAGCCCTTTGATGTGGGCACAGTGACCATCCCTGTTTTACATATGAGTAAATGTGAAGAGGTGACTCACTTAAGCCCAGGGTGACATAGCTGGTAAGCAGCAGTGACAGGATTTGAACCCAGACAGTCATGGCTCTAGTTCACTGAGGATTAATCTGAGGAGGTATTTAAGGGTGCAGCGTAAGCTGGGGGCGTGTGGCTCCTGCAGCCTTGTCCTCCCCTCCCTCTCCCACTGCTCTGAGGCCTGCGGGCTCCACTGAGCCCACAGTCGGCCTGGTGTCTCCCAGGGGGTCCCTCTTCCTGCCTGGTGGCCCGCCCCTCCCCGGCCCTGCCTCTGTGCTCCCTGAGGCCCCAGCGGAGTAAGCTGGGGTCTGCCAAGGCATGGGATGCTGGGAGCCCCTTGTGGGACCCCCGCACCCCCAGCTCAATCCTTAGTGGCCTTCTGGGTGGGGCTGGGGTGCACGCTGACTACCCCCCCACCGCCCCTTGGAGGGCTGGCGGCCTCATCCCTGTGCTGACATTTCTTTGGTTGTTCATGTCATGGCCCTTCAGTCTGTGCAGTTTTACAAATGTGCTGGCAAGATGAAAGGCGCCTGGAACAGGGACTGGAGAGCAAGTTCGGAAAAGCTTTTAACTTCCAGCTCCTACGGACAAAGCAGGAGGAGGGGTAGGAAGGGAGGGAGGGGAAGGAAGAAAGGATGAGGGAGGGAGGGAGGCAGGAGGGGAGAGGAGACAGAGGAGGAAAGGAGGGAAGGGAGCCCATAGAAAAGGGGACAGGGGAGAAGGAAGGGGACAGAAAAACTAGAGCGTGGGGAGAAGGAGGCAAGGTAAAGAGAGACGGGGAGTGTTGGGAGGACCAGGTCCAGAGAGAGAGGGATGTGGACAGAGGGCATCACAGTAGGACGGGCAAGGTGGAGATTGGGGGAGGGGGACAAACAGACATGAGAAGACAGACAGAGAGACACAGAGAGGAGACAGACACAGGCAGAGAGAACGGAGGTAGACAGATGGGAAAGGAAATGGCCAAAGAGAAAAACAGACACAGAGACACAGCTAGGGAGAGAGGTAGACAGAGACCAAGAGATGAAGAGGGAGAGAGAAGAAAACAGGGACAAATAGAAAGGGACGAATAAGGGGACAGACGCTCAGAAAAAGGCCAAGAGCCTTCAATGACTGAGAGATGGGGGGTGGTCAGAGAAGGGGAGGCCACTGACAGTGGATAAGAAGGCAACAGACAGACATGAAGACAGGAACAAGGAGACAGACAGACAGAAAGACACAGATGAGGCTTCAGGTGGGGAAGGACAGAGAGAAGTGAGGCCCTTGGGCCTCAAATGTAGAAAAGAGAGACCCTGAGCAGCCCGCCACCTGCCACACCTGCCCTTGACTGACACTTGTTCAAATTCAAGGGCGCCCTGGAGCAGATCCTGCTGTTTAATGAGCCGAGGCTAGAAGAACAGTTCTCAACTAGGGGTGATCCCCCCCCGGGTATATTTGGCTAAGTCTGGAGACATTTTTGGTTGTCACAACAGGGAGTGGAACACACATGCTACTGGCATCTAGTAGGGAGAGGCCAGGGATGCTGCTATACATGCCACAGTGCATAGGGCCATCACAACAAAGAATAATGTGACCCAAAGTGTCAACTGTGTCAAGGGTGAGAAACCCTGGGCCAAAGGGAGGGAAAACCCCTGGACCTAGATGACTATGCCAAAGAAAGGGCATTGTCAGTGCTGCTAGTCGGGGCTGGATGCACTTGGCAGGTGGAATTGTTTGTTCCTGAGCCACACCCTCGTCCAGGGTCCCCATCCACCCTGGGAAAGTAGTGTCTCTCTTGGTGCACTCACCACACCATAATACAACAACTCATAGGTTCAAATCTCTAAGCACTTACAGTGTGCTGGGCATTTTACTTGCCCAGAGGCAGAGTAGCACATCAGTTCCGTGTGCAAGCTCTGGCCCCAGCCTGCCTGGGTTTGAATCCCAGCTCCACCACAAACTGATTATGTGACCTCAAACAGGCTTCATGGTTTCTCCGTGCCTCAGTTTCCCCATTTATACATTTGCAAATCGGTTGCCATGAGAATCAAATGAAACAGGCCATGTGAAACAGTCATCTCATTTACCTGCACATCAGTGCTGAAGGACATGACTTTGACCTCACACAGCCTGTGCAGGGTAGAGCTAGCTAATCTCAGAGCCCAGCTCTGCTCAGTGCTTCCTCTGCCACACCACAGAAGTCCCTGCTGACCTTCACCCAAAGGAGAGCACAAGGTCAGGCTCAGAAGCCAGGCACTGGCCCTATCCCTCCACCGTCCTCCTACGTGATCTTGAAGGCATTTCATCACCCTGAGCCTCAGTTTCCCCACTTGTAAAATGGGGCTTGTACCTGATAGCTGTGATGATCTAAAAGCAAGATCGTGGCCCACACCAGGTACCCAATATTTGCTGACAGTGGCATCAAACGTGTGCCCAGATCCTAGCATAGCGTCCGTCACAGAGTGGATGCCAGGAGGAGGTTTGCTGAAGGAAGGAATTGGAGATAATGAGGGAAGTGAACCTGAGAAGAGGAGTCTTTGGGAGAAAAAAAGCCAGGAGCTCTAATAAGAAATCATGGGGAGAAGAGAGAGAGAGAGACCAGAACAAAAGAGAGAGAGAGAGAGAGATGTGAGAACAGTTCATCCCACAAGCATTTATTGAGCACCTACTGTGTTTGTGCAGATGTGAGAGCAACGAGTCTCAGGCCCAGGAACCTGTGGCCAGTCAAGCAGGTCTGACAGCTGGAGATGAAAGCGCACAGCAGGCCTGGGAGGGCTGGGGGAAGGCAGGGGAGGGAGAAGGAGCAGGGACAAATGACCAGAGTGAGTGGGAGAGGAGGGAGAGGACAGAAACTGGAGAGAGGCTTCTGGAAGGGCCGGCTTCTGGTCTCTGAAAGCATGAAAGAGTGGAGGCTAAGAATAGAGGAGAGGGAGGAAAGAGAACCAGAGAAGGAGAGTGTACAAAGGCAAGGCTGGGAGAGATCAATGCGGGGGAATAAACAGAGAAAAGGACTTCGGGGAGGGAGCAGGGCTGTGGGATGGAGAAGAAATCTCAAAACAAATAAGAGGGGCTGAAGGGGCAGCCAGCAGAAGTGATTGCAATCACTGGGAGAGGGAGGGGGAAGGACTGGGGTGGGAGGGAGATGGCCATTAGGGAAGGATGCAGGGGAGGGGCAGGGTGGGGCTGAGCTAGAACCCGAGTCCCTGAGCACCAAGGGTCCTGGAGGGTCCTGACCTGGTTTACCCTGAACTTCAGCAGCTGATCCTTAGCTCACGAGGCATCTGGTCTATAAAAATATGGCAGGAGAGAGGATACTCCTGCCTCCTGTTAGCCTCCACCCACCTGCCTGACAGCCCTGGTGATGGGAGGGGGGTATTCCCAAGAGGATCCCCAGAGAAGGATGAAGGGCAGGTCTGGGGGAGTCATTGGTCCCATCTCCACCATCAACAACCTCATGTTGAGAGTTAGGGTGTTGGAGGGGGTACCTCCCCAATTAGGCTTCATTCTAGAGAATGGAACTGAGAAAGAAAACAAGGCCGGGCAGAAAAGACATCAGGTGGCAGTCTATCTGGACGTTTAATGGAAAATCCCCCCTGGAAGGTATTTCTCAGCAGCTGGAGGGGGACCGGGTGGGTGTAGGAGGATTATTGCGAAGCTCTCGCGCCCAAATTTAGGGTGGTCTTGGCTTCTTGTTTTATTGGCGGAGAAGGCGCCCGACTGCACTCTGTGTCCCTCCTGCAGCTGCAAAAGACTGCATTTGAGGGGTGCCCATAGTTCTCTTCCCTGAACCCCAAGCTCACCACGTTGCTTGGAGACTCAGGCCCTGCGCACCAGCCTCGGCCCACTTCTGAGCGCAGAGAATCTTTCTGAGACTGGCCAGTGTGTCTGTACGAGGGGTCTTCCCGGGCAGCTGCGCCCCCTTTCTTCCGAAACGGGGCTCGCACAGTAGTGTGTGTGGGAGGGGGATTGGGAGACCTGGAGGTAGTCGAGTCAGGTGGGAGAGAAGGTTTCCGCAGGGGCCTGCTGGGGAGCTGCCAGGCCGGGAAGGAGGTGGTCCCCTCCTGGGGGCGCTCCCTTCGCGCGGATCACCGGCTGGAGGAGGAGGGGCACCGCCCCCGGGGGTTTCCTGGGACCCGGCCGCCTGAGGGAGGGAGAGGCCGGCCCTCCCCGCGGGTGAGGGTGCAATCGGAGGTGGGGGCCGGGGGCCCGGCCTCGGGCTGCGGGGGCCGGCCGGCGGCCGCCTGCGACTCGGCCCGGCGCGCTCTCCTGCCCGGCGGCGCTGCATTCTCGGAGTCTCCACCAGAGGCTGCGGAGGAAGGAAGGGATCCGTCCCTTGCACACTTCCCCCCTAGTCAGACACGCACACTCCCTCGCTCCCGCTCGCTCACTCCCTCGCTCTCCCTCGCTCTCTCGCTCACACACACACGCGCGCACCCGCCGCCGCGGCTCCCCCTCCGCGCCCGCTCTCCCCCGGATTCTCCGGGCGCCCGGCAGCTCCGGACTCGCCGCCGCCCGCTCCGGGACTCCTGCCCCACGCAGCGTCCCGAGGCGGCACGACTGGGGGAGCCCCGGGCCGCTCCCCGAGGTAAGAGTGCGGGTGCGCGGGAGCCGGCCGATCGCGCCGAGGGGCGCTGCCCAGGCGAAGGGAGCCCCCGGCAACCAGCGGCGCGGGGCGCCAGCCCTCCGGCGCTAGGGGAGCCCCGCGCCCGGCCCGCGCGCCCCCTCCTTTTGCGGGGCGGCAGGAGGGAGTTTCCCACGTCCAAAGTTTCCCCGCGCGGAGCCGACCCGCTCCTCGACCCGGAGCCTGCGCCCCCGCGCGCCCCCCACCGCGGCCCCGCGCCCCGGAGCCTCCGGGAACCTCTCGGGCCGAAGAGGGCAGCGCCGGGGGCCGAGGAGGCGGCGCACAGCTTCCGCGCGAGGCCGGGACCCCGGCGTCCCCAGCCCCCTGGTTCTGGGGGCTCTGTCCCCTGGCCCCTCCCAGAGGCGGGGTCCGGGCCGGGAACTACTGCGGGGCAGGAGCGTGTGCGCGCGAGTGTGTGTGTGCGAGGTCGTGCAGCGGCTGGGACACTCGGAGATAGACTCAAGCCGTGGCGACACGCACGGCTGCAGCCACCTCAGGGGGAAAAGCGGGCCTGCGGGGACCCCCGCCGTTCCCACTGCGTGACCCTGCTGCTCTCGGACCGTCGGGCGGGCCCACGGACAGGACCAGAGGTGGGGTAGCACTGCCCTCATATCGCGGACCCAGCTCTGGAGACACTGTCCCCGCCAAGGAAGAAGGACGCGGCCCCGACGGCCTCATTCCCAAAGGGAATGCACTTGGGACCGACCCTCGGGGTCGAGCTTTGACTAGGGTGGCGTGGACTGTGTGGACACGAGGAGTGCCCAGCGGCCAGCGGTGGGCACGGTTCGGACCCGTTTTGCTTGCGCTTTTGGACCTGACGTCCCTACTCCCTGTTCTTGGGCACTGTCAGGGCCCCCGCCCCAGCTGGGGCTCCGCTGAAGACCGCAGGCTGGGCTGTGGCGGGAGGAGACAGCCCGGAGTCCCCGCGGTCTCCCCGAGCTGCAGGGGCACCCCCTGGTGGCGGGTGGAGCAGCTGTGGGCCGTCGCCTGAAGCCGGCCTAATGCTTCCTCCGCTGGAGCGTTTGGGAACCCTCTAGTCTCCCACTCCGTTGGGCCTGGCCAGGGGTTGCGTGTAACAACAGCTCCGTTCTCCTTGGGTCTGGTTCCAGCTGTCTCGAAGTCCCTGGAGCTGCCTGAGGCGCCCCCACCACAGGCAGGGGCTTATTGGAGGGCCCTGGCTGCAGCCAACCCTCTGTCTCCCCTGCGGCCCGTCCTGGATCGCATCCTCTTTTCTCCCACTAGTCAGCGCCACCACCCTATGCCAGCAGCACCACTGCCTTCAGCAGTCTTCCCTGGAACCCACAGGCTCCTCCCTGACCCCTGTGCCCCTCTGTCTCTCATAAGTGCCCCCTGTACCTACCCATCAAGGCCCATCTGTCCCCCAGCAGGGACACCTGTTCCACAGCCCTTTTTGGAATTTGCCCTTTACACCATGACATCCTTCCATCTTTGCCCACCTATAGCCTCCCCCTCCCACATCTTCCATCTACCTGCCTCAGTTTCTCTCCGCAGCACTCAGCTGCTCCCTACCCTCCTCCCTGCCTAAGTCTCTTCCCTACTTCTCTCCACCCCTTTTCCTCTCCCTTTCCCAGCTTTGCCCTAGAGCTGGGGTGTGGGGAAGGGGAACCACTCCCAGTCCATTCCTCCTTTGGGGGAAGGCAATTGTTGACATTTAAACACCACCTCCTGGCATGTTTGTATGTGCCTCTGGGGGCCCCTGGGTGGGTACTTTGCAAGGCCTGTTAGGTCTCAGTCAGCTAAGGGGCACTGCCCTACCTTCTTGGGGTGCTCCTTCCAGCTGGCCCCTGGAGATGAGAAGCCCCTTCCCCTCCCTATTCCTCACTGTGAGCACATTAAAGACCTGTGGGGTCACCCTTCTTCCCATTTTAAAAACAGAGGCCTGAGGTCACATGGTGGCCTATCTCCACACCTAGATTAGGAGCCCAGCTGTCCTGACTTGCAGACCTTAAGGACTCTCCTTGTTTGTGGAAGGGATGGAACTGTTTCTTGCCTTCACGCTGCAGGCAAAGCAAGAAGACACCTGTTTAAATGCAGCTAGAGATGTTTAAGTTAGACCCAGTGCTCCCAGGCCAGTGGCTGGAGAAGGCTGCAGAAATATCTTTGCCAGAGAAGCCTGAATTACAGAGAGACACTGAGGACACAGCTCTGTCCCTAATGAAGTGTCATGACCTGGGGCAAGTCACAGCCCTTCCGTTAAAGGGGTGTGTGTGTGTGTGTGTGTGTGTGTGTGTGTGTGTAAGGGGTGGCTTTATCTCAGGACATTTCGGGCTGGGAATAACTGTGCCCAGAGGCATGGCTGGCATCTCCCTTCTGCTTCCCACTGCTGGGAATTTTCTGAGATCTTCTCAGGGGTCCCCTCTGAGAGGGGGCTGGGCTAAAGCCAGGCGGCAGGGATCCCAGGATGGCCTAGCTCCTCCCCAGTTAGCAAAGTTTGTAGCAGCCAGCTTATTTACCACATGGGCAATAGGAGTCAGCCAATTAATTTCCTCTCCACCTCTCCTCTCTCTCTCTCTCTCTCTCTTTTTCCCCCTTCCATCAGGAAGCTTTATTCGGAAATGCAGCCTCAGGTATTCCAAGAGAGAAAATGATTCCTGTTTATATAACTCGGGCAGCAGCCAGCTAAACTCGGCCTGGGAGGGGGCGGTCACTAAGGATGGAGTCAGATGGTTCCTGGGGAAGAGGAGACCCTCAGGAAGGGGCAGGCTGGGGCCTTGGGGCTGGAAGGTTCCCAGTCCCACCCAAGGCTGAGTCAGGGAGGGCCCTGGGGGCTGGAGACAAGGCAGGAACCCACCTGTCAGGCTAAGAGGAGACCAAGGTCCAGGGGTGGATGCCAAATAAGTAAAGTAAGCATGGGCTGACTTGTGCTTATTTACTAAGCTATAGTGAATAATTTCACATGGGTTCACTACATCTTTGGTTTTCTGGTTTTTTTATTTTTTGGCAGGTGTGGGGGGAGCTTTCTTTCATTGAAAATGCTGCAAAGTACTGGCTGGGGAAGATGCATGCAGGGCAGGGGGCTGGAGGCAGGGCTGTCATGTGCAGTTAAGCAGTTGTTGATTATTCAAGGACACCCAGTGCAGGAGGCAAGAGCAGGGGCTGAAATCCATCTTAAGTTTCACTCAACTGTCTTCCTGGAGGAGGAGCTGTTGTTAGTTACTGTCAGTGTGGTTCTGACTCGTGCCCCCCCCCCACGTGCCCACAGAATTGCTCCACAGAGTGTTCAAGCCAGTTACGTTTGGAGGCAGATTGCCAGGCCTACCTGCTGACGCTCCTCTGGTTGGATTTGAACCACTGGCCTTCCAGCTGGTAGTCAAAGGCTTAACCATTGATGCCATCCAGGGACACCTCTAGTTTGTAAAAACCCTTTGTATTCTTGAATTGGAGTTCTCTGGTAGCATAGTACCTAAGGCACCTGACTGCTAACCAGAAAGCTGGTGGTTCAGACCCACCAGCCACTCCTCAGAAGGAAGGTTGGGCAATCTACTTCCGTAGAGATACTGCCTCGGAAACCCAAGGAGGGGTCTCTATGAGTCGGGTCTGACTCAACGGCGCATAACCACAACAACATACTTGTATTAGCCATGGGCCTCTGGGGCTGCATACCCCCAGAGAATGATGCTATTTTCCAATTCCCACAGAGGCTAGTGGTGACCCGGGGGTGGGGGCAAAGGATGTACCCACTGCTCACGCCTTTGCCCAGTGCTCTTACAGTGAGGACACACCTTTCTGCATATGTTAGTCTGAGTCTGAACACATGGGGAGCAGGAACCAGAGGGGCTCCCCTTACTTTTCCCACATTTCCCTCCATGCCCCATCAGCAGACCCTTTCCTCCAGGACTGTAGGTAATGTTGGGGTTAGGCTGGGAACTTCTTGCTTCCCGATCAGACCCACGAGGCTTCAGCCATCTACATACTACCAGCTGCCTCCTTCATATACTGTATACAGCTGGTTAAGAGCGTGGTACTGAAGTCAGAGCAGCCTGAGTGTGTGACTTACGGCTGTGTGACTTTGGGCAAGTTCCATTGCCTCTCTGAGCCTCAGCGTCCTCCCCCGTAAAATAGAGAAAACAGTAATAGCTACCTCATTATACTGTTGTAAAGAGTAAACGTGCTTGAATAGGTACAGGACTCAGTGCAGGGCCTGATGCACAGAAAACCCCATACCTGAAGCAGTGTTATTATCTCTGCATCCCTTGGTTCCCACAGGACTGAAGGTAGCTGTGCCTTTGTGTTTGGTTTTGCCCATAACTTGGGCAGAGATTAATCAGGATCAGCAGGATGTCTCCCTGACCTCAGGATCCTTTCTGAGACCATGTTTGTTTTGGGGGAAGTGGAGCTCTCCGGTCCCTGCATGCAGAAGCAGGGGAGCATGTTCTCGGTTCCCACAGATTCATTCCATCCTAATCTCTACGTTTCCTCCCCTCCCACTCATCCTGTGATCTTTCTCTAGCTCAGACCTCACTGGCTTCCACACAACCTCTGTGGCAGCCCCCCCCTGGCCTACCAGCCTCGAATGTCCTCCCCACAACACTCCCTGCTTCAGCCAGTGATCGTTTTCCAGCACAGGTGGGGTCATGTCACTTGCTTGATTAAAACCCTTCCATGGCTCCCCATCGCCTACTGAATTAAGTCCAGGCTCCGCACCATGACATTCAAGGTCTTGTAATCCTTCTACATCCCACTTTATCTCTCACTGTGCCTCTGATCCAGCACCGCCCCCAGTCAACCACACCTGCCCTTTGTTTATGCTGACCCCACTACCCCAATGCCCTTTCCCTGAAAAGCTTTCAAGACCAAACTCAAATAGTACCTTTTCCTTGCATCTATCTATCCGTCTATCCATCTGTCACTTCATCCATTACTCACTTTACAATATATATTAACACACACGTTGCTGTTAAGTAACGTCAAGTTGGTTCCAACTCATAACGACCCTACGTACAACAGAATGAAATACTGCATTGTCCTGCACCATTTTCATAATCATCGCTCTGTTTGAGCCCATTGTTGCAGCCATTGTGTCAGTCCATCTCATTGAGGGTCTTCCTCTTTTTTGCTGACCCTCTACCAAGCATGATGTCCTTCTGTGGGGACTGGTCCCTGCTGATAACATGTCCAAAGTATATGAGACAAAACCTCGCCATCCTAGCTTCTAAGAAGCATTCTGGCTATACTCCTTCCAAGACAGATTTCTTTGTTCTTCTGGCAGCCCATGGTATATTCAATATTCTTTGCCAACACCACAATTCAAAGACATCAATTCTTCTTCCCTCTTCCTTCTTCAGTGTCCAGCCTTTACATGCATATAATGCAATTGAAAATTCCGTGGCTTGGGTGAGGCGCACCTCAGTCTTCAAAGTGACATCTTTGCTCTTTAACAATTTAAAGAGATCTTTGGCAGCAGATTTGTCCAATGCAATATGTCATTTGATTTCTTGACTGCTACTTCCATGAGCATTGATTGTGAATCCGAGTGAAATGAAATCCTTGACAACTTCAAACCTTTCTCCATTTGTCATGTTGTCACTTATTGGTCCAGTTGTGACGACTCTCATTTTCTTTCTGTTGA